GGTGCTCTCTATAATCACTATTACTCTGTCCATAGGCTATTAATCGTTTCACTCACTACTACGTCTTGGAGACATTTAAGCACTTAAAGTCGTGCAAACCGTACCTTTAACGCCAGGGACGACAGTTTGAGGATCAGCAGGTTCGAGACTCTTCCGTCTGGCAGCTGAACGTCAGGGATGCTCCGATTAGATCCTGGGTTTAATTAGAGGAAACCAGTCCAAAGCTAATCACCGGTTGGTTCCAGTCCTTTGGGCTCTGAACGGACGTTTGGATGATTGTACCTTCATGCGTACCTTGACCCCTCACGGCTGGCCGGGAACCTGCGCGGTGCCAATCAAGTTTTAAAATCGCTGAATCTAGACGCCACGAGCCATTTGTTCTGAATGGCATCAGATCGATTGGCGCGTCTAAAGGAACATCTGGCACCAGGTCGGCCGTGGGGGGAGGTTTTAGCCCTGATGTCTGATTTCCGTCCCTGCGTTTGGTGCTACCACCTACCATTGGCTCTGTGTCGGTCCTGTAGACCCCGTCAAGAGCCTGATCACACAGGACGCGCTCCGGAGGCTAGCAAACACCAAATCCTCTGCTTTTATTCTGTCAGTGCCCCCAAGGCCCACTAGCAGACAGAAAGCATGTTAGATCTGGGGTTAGGTTAGGAAAGGCTACTGATGAGAACATGTCTGGTTACAATCAGAACATCCCATCCAAAAACGGGCTTTGACCTGGTTGGAGAAACAATTGAACCAATCAGAGCAGATTTATTTCAGGGATTAAGGACGGTAACGTGCCAGAAAACTGTTCACAAAAGTGCCGATGAGTATAGATTCGACATCCTGATTATCAGATTGAACATCTGGATCACTCAAAACTCCTCAAAGTCATCGGAGCCGATAGAAAAGGAGCGCGCCGCGGATAAATTGGCGTCCTGTGCGATCGCGTCTTGATGTGCAGCTCTCCGGCTCGGTGAAAACCTTGTAGCCAGACGGAGCTTTTGAACAGCCGCTGCCGGGGGCCTGCTGTTCGTCCTGTTGGGTTTGAGGTGCTAAGCTAAGCTAGCCAGGGCTGCTGCTGAGCCTGTTACGCGTCTGTGGTGCTCTCTACCAGCCGCGAGTGTTCGTCCAGTCTCGATCTGCGACGCCGAGCAGCTCTGCCGTCAGCGTGGCGATCTATCCACGGGCTCTGTTTGTGTATTTTACAACGACAACACACTTCCTGTCTGGAGTCCTGTCAGGTGCTCTCAGGTCTGGCCTCACTTCCTGTCACCGACCCGTTCAGACACGACCGGTGTGTAGACCTGTTCTCGGGAGGGGCTTAAAACCTTGCCCAGCAGTTCACCCAGAAAACACCTGGATCCAGTGTTCCACAGATCTCCTGCTGGACAAACGGCCGTGCGCTGAGCGGGTTTCGGGGATGTGAGGCCGGGCAGGTGCTGTCCACGTCTTTGACCGTTTCAGGTGCTTGATGTATTTTTCTTTTGACCATTTTACACGTCGCAGAAAACACGTCCATCGGGGTGATTGGTAGAACTCTGCAGAATCTAAAACTATAGAGTGAAAGGTTTTAAACAGAATTCCCATTGGATGGTCCGGGTTCCTGCACCGATGCAGAACGCCGGACAGAAAACAGAAAAGGACATGTCGGGAACGTGTTGAGTGAAATCAGCCGAGTCTGAGACAGACACGAGTTTGCGTCTGGAATCGGGAACCTTGAGCTTGGTTTTGGCGTTTTACGCCCCACTGACACTCTGAATGACCTTTTCACCTCCAACAATCACAGTTACGTTAACAGAACACGTTCAGGCTCCTGGTGGTTCCTTCAGCTGGAGAGCTTTTGTTTTGTCGACGACGCTTCAGCTCTGTTTACATCTCATCACCAAACCTGCCAAATGAAGCTCAGACTCTGACCCTTCGTCCTTTTGTTTGCTGGTTAGTTAGGAGCTGACGAGGGGAACGCGATCTGTGTTCCTTCTTTTCGCCTGAAGGTGCGGTCACGTTGGCCCGCGTTCACGCTCCCGGAGTAACGGGATGTGGCGTCGGGGTCGTCCGCGTGTTTCTACTGGCTGAACGTGCACGTTCAGATGTGGTAGGTGACCTTTCACCTGTGAGTCGTCCGGACTTATTGAAGTGAACGAGAACGCCGTGCGGCCGCACCTTCTACCTGAAGCCAACAACAGCTTCCTGCTCCTCAACAGCTGCTGCAGCTCAGAGTCGTGGGCATCAGCCGCCTCCGTCGACACCTATTTAAACTTTTCAGACCCAGTTGCATCTTTGTTAAACGCCCAACCTGTCCAGGTCGATTGACCGTATGCTAAGCCCCGCCCCCTTAGTTCCTGCTGCTAACCCACTGATCCTTCAGTCCTGATCAGGATTCAGAGCGACCCGCGTTCTGCCGGACTCCCTGCAGAAGCTGTTGGAGCAGAACCCGGTCGTTTGGTTCAGGTTCAGGTTTCAGCTCAGCGGTCCAGAGTTTCTGTTCATCACAATGATTGTTAATTAAAATAAAAACAGAAAACTCGCCGTACCTACCGGTCTGTACCACCGTGAGAACATTTCATGTTAAAATGCCCCCCCCCCCTTTTATTCTGTCCCTTCTTGTTTTATAATGAAATAAAAACACTGTAAAGGTGAATAAACTATTTATAAACATCTGTCTGTGTTGCTTTTGGAATTATTGAAGAACTACAACTCCCATGAGTCTGCTGCTGACGAGTTAAAGAAATATGACGTGTTGTAAATGACATCAGCTGTTTCACATCCACACGCTGGCTCAGCGTTCGGGCTCCATAAGGCAACGAACACGTGAGAATATTTAAAACTCTGCTCGACTGACGCATCAATTTAAATAGAATTTTTCTCCTGTTCACTTTATTCAGGAGAATAAACTGCTGCAGGTAGGTTTTAATTCTGGATTAAATCTGGATCTTTTTGTGGCTGAAAATTATCTTAAATTGTGTTTTCAGGGAAAATCAACCAAACAAGTGTTTGTTTATTCAGAAAGGATTTAAGCTTGTAGAACTCAGAGGGAATATCTGGATCCATCTCAACCCGTTTCATCCTCTTGCCGTGTGAGGCACCGTCTTTCTTTTCTCCTCTTCATGTGCGTACGCATGGTTCATAGCCTTTGTTTGGGAAGTGGCGTCCGCACGTTTCCAGCCCTGTTTTGTGCAGCGTTTATACATGAGATGAACACAAAGGCTAACATGGTGATGCTGTCAGATCAGAAACACTGAGCCTGAGGGGGAAGTGATGCCACATTGCTCATGTTGCTAATCGAGGCGTTAAAGAGACAGAAATCTTAATAAGAAGTTGGCTAGTAGAAAATATAAAATAGACATCAAACTGTTTCAGTATTGTCTGATTTTATACCTCTTTTGAAAAGAAATCTTTACTGAAACACAGCACTGATGATAAGAGATGGAACAGACTTAAGTCCTTAAAATTATAAATGTACATACAAACAATTCACGTTCACACATAAGGACAGCTGAGAGTCACCTGTGCATGTGTTTGGACGGTGGCCTGGGACGACGGTGCTAACCACTGCGCCACCGTGCCGCATCAGTGTGTCGCGTTGCACCTAATTCTCATTTTCAGCAGCAGCTACCAGCCACTCTGGTTCAGTCAGGAAGGTCACTGTACGAGAGGCGTCTTCTGCAGCTGTCGCTCACGTCCGGGCTCGCTGGGCTGCAGTCGGAACATTTTCCTGTTTCGCTCCCACGCGGCAAATGGTCTGTATTTTTTTAGTTCTAGTCTCTCGTTGCTTCACATTCACCCGTTCACGCTCTGATGGCGCAGCCACCAGGAGCAGTTCACACGCAGAATAGGTTTTATTATAATAGCTTGAATTATTCAAATTTAAATGCATGCAGATATACTTTATGTTGCCTTGTAGTTCATGTTGTGCGGTGTCATTTGGCTGCTACTCGTGAGGGCGGGGGACAGAGTTCACAGGTAGGAAACCGGACTTCAGATGGCGTTCCATGGTACTCTTTCTAGATGGAGGTCTGAAATTTCCGACCTGGTTTGCATACGTTTCATCCGCTCCATAGAATGACCTGCAGCTACTCTCTGAGCCTGTTGCTCTCAGGACACTTATGGATGCTGCTGATTATTAACTTCTGAAGTAACTGTCAGCAGCTACTGGTCTTCTTTTTTAGTTTTTAAGTTAATATCCCACCATAAAACTGGAAAAAAACTGCATATTGTAAAACTGTCAGTGTCGAGCTACCAGGAAATTTTATAAGAATACATCCAGATTTTGTCAACTTAGTTCTTGTCACATTATTGACACATTTGAAAATCAGAATATATATAATTAGCTGATGTCTAAGTGTTGGACGCGTTCACATGTTGACCTGATGGTGGCGCTGGAGAGCAGGTTCTCACAGTTCATCCTGAGGGGAGCATGAAGGTCTGAACCAGGTTACCACCTGTCCAACAGCTGCAGGTGTTTCAGGGTGAAACAAATAGTTTTATTTCTGAAACTAATTCCCATAAATCTGCATGTGAACTCGTTCCCTGACGGCGTGGAGAGACGAGGATTCATATTACCGTGTGTGGCGGAGAGATCCACCAGTGACTCGGCAGAAATTATAATTGCTTCTCCCCCAGAATGCACTACTCCAAACAACTGGAGAACAGGCAAGGAAGAAGTAGGTCACACACACACAGAGCCTTGTGGCCACCAAACCATAACTAATTCTGTCTTATCTGCTTCTATAAAAAGATGAAAGAGAGAAGCAGCAGAGGAAGCAGCGTCTTTTATTCATCAGGACACAGGACGGGTCCTCAGGTGAGTGACCAGGTGAGACACGCTGACCTCGTGTTGCTGCGTCAGCTCGTACACGGTGAAACGAGCTCTTCAGGGTTCAGAAACATTTTCTGTCACCTGAGTTTGTTCTCAGAGGAACTTAAATCATAAAATGAACTCCCTTATACAGAGAGTCTAAGCCCCGCCCCTTCTGATGGACTGCCACGGCAACTTGTTAAATATGTACATTAGTTGGCGGCCAAAGGCAACTCATGTTTGGATTCAAGTTTTTTATTGTGTTGAATTACACACACAATGTTTGAAAGATAACTTTCAAAGAAGCTAACTTTCTATAGCTAACGTCACTGAAGCTAACGTCACCTGTTAGCTTCAGTGACATTATCTGAACTATAGCTAACGTCACTGAAGCTAACTTCACCTGTTAGCTTCAGTGACATTATCTGAACTATAGCTAACGTCACTGAAGCTAACTTCACCTGTTCGCTTCAGTGACATTATCTGAACTATAGCTAACGTCACTGAAGCTAACGTCACCTGTTAGCTTCAGTGACATTATCTGAACTATAGCTAACGTCACTGAAGCTAACGTCACCTGTTAGCTTCAGTGACATTATCTGACCTATAGCTAATGTCACTGAAGCTGACATCACCTGTTAGCTTCAGTGACATTATCTGAACTATAGCTAACGTCACTGAAGCTAACGTCACCTGTTAGCTTCAGTGACATTATCTGAACTATAGCTAACGTCACTGAAGCTAACAGGTGACGTTAGCTTCAGTGACATTAGCTATAGGTCAGATAATGTCACTGAAGCTAAATTCCTATAGCTAACGTCACTGAAGCTAACTTCCTATAGCTAACGTCACTGAAGCTAGCTTTCTATAGCTAAAATCACTGAAGCTAGCTTCCTATAGCTAATGTCACTGAAGCTAGCTTCCTTTTGCTAATGTCACTGAAGCTAACTTTCTAAAGCTAACGTCACTGAAGCTAACGTTTTAAAGCTAACGTCTAGGAAGTTAGCTTCAGTGACGTTAGCTTTAGAAAGTTAGCTACGAGCTAGTAGCAAGCATAAAATTAACATTAGCTTAGCATTACAGCACTAACATGGTGGACATATATTGCGCGAGACGAGAGATGTAGTTCACTGAGCGGTTTTCACACAAAACTAAATTTGACTTTACTGTGAAATTAATTTTAAACTGACAAACGTGTGTAATTCAGGACTCAGTTCAAGGAAAGGGAGGGGAGGGGCTTAGGCTCTCAGGTAAATCAGGCAGATTTCAGGAAGGCCTCAGTTGAACCAGGTTCAAGTTAACCCTCTAGTGTCCAGTTTAAAGACGCATCACGTCCGTCCTAAACTTGAAAACGTCAGAAATGTGTCATTTAAAAAGTCTGAAACACTTCTTTGTAATCGATTGCTTCATAAACTGTTAACTTGTATTAATTATTGATCGGTGTAAAGGTCAGGTCCACAGTCACTTCCTGTCGAAGTCGGCGGCGTCACAGGAAGGCCTTCAGAATACTGAGCATGCTCAGTGCAGACTCCACGCAGCCGTCAAAGTTGGAGTGGCTGAAGCTGTCTCCACCGCAGATGAGCAGCGGGCGCTCAAGGACGGTCATCTGACCTGGACAGCCCGGCACCGAGGTCAGCACCTGTCGGAGGGGAGGGAGGGGTCATAAATCAAACGCTCCCTCTCCGAGAGGAGTCTCAGGACTTTGACCTGTGATGTCTCACCTGGGAGTACCTCCACTTCTGACACTTGATGCTGATTGGATGAGGCAGACCAGGAAGCAGCTTGTGGAGCTCCTGTAAGATGATTGGCTGGATGTCCTCCTTGTCTTTCTCCAGGTGCTCAAGGCCGAACGAGACGCTGGTGTGGACGACGAGGGACGGGCCGCGACCGCGATCGTCTGAACAGACAAAAACATGAAAATTTAGCTGCTCATTTTGTGGGTTTGAGTGATGTCACACTGGCGCGTCCTTGAACACATCAAACAGACTCTACACGTCACAGCATCACTACAGGATGATAACTTTACTTATTATGAGTGCATATTATAGAATTTCTTTGTTTCATTTCGTCTCTAATTAAACCCCAAAGTGTTGCTTAAACCTGTAAATCTGTATTGATATTCTGTTTTCTTGGCTGTGATGAATTACCTCTCTGTAGAAACTAAGAACAAACAACTAATAGCTCGGGAAAGTGGAAATTACAGTAAATCGGATATGACGTGAATGCAGCAGTAACCTGTTAGCATGCTAACATTAGCTCGGCCAGGTGAGCAGACAGACCTGCGTTGCGTTTGCGGGAGTCTGCAGCGATGTAGCGGATGCAGGGGTTGTCAGTGACGTATCGAGCCGCCCAGGGAAAACTGAAGACCACGTCAGGAGGGAAGAAGAGAGCGACGGCAAAACGAGACGAGTACACGACTCCGTCTAACTGCTGCTTCTGCTGGACGGAAAGCACTGAGAGACAGACAGACAGAGTTAAACCTTATGATCCAGGACTCAACACTGCAAACTGTTTCACCTGTGTGTTCACCAGGAAGGGAGGCTCTAATTACAGACAATGTCAAGTTGCATTATGGGAAGTGTAGAAAGAATTGTTGAAGCTTAAACCCCACTGACTAACCTGTTTACACATACAGACTACGGACTCTCTCTCCTGCCTTTCGCAAACCTAATTTAGATGCTCAGCTCTGATTGGACAGTTGTTTTCGCCTGCTGTGTTCTGTAGCAGCCCGTTAAAGTTCACTCGCAGCCGGTTAAAGTTCACTCAGGTCAAAGTTCACTTACAGACGGTTAAAGTTCTATTGCAGCCGGTTAAAATTCTTTCGCAGACGTTAACTCAGGTTAAAGCTCTATCGCAGAGTTCACTCAGGTTAAAGTTCTTTCGCAGCAGGTTAAAAGTTCTTTCACAGCCGGTTAAAATTCACTCAGGTTAAAGTTCTATCGCAGCCGGTTAAAATTCACTCGCAGCCGGTTAAAATTCACTCGCAGCCGGTTAAAATTCACTCAGGTTAAAGTTCTATCGCAGCCGGTTAAAATTCACTCGCAGCCGGTTAAAATTCACTCAGGTTAAAGCTCTATCGCAGAGTTCACTCAGGTTAAAGTTCTTTCGCAGGCGGTTAAAGTTCATTCGCAGCCGGTTAAAATTCACTCAGGTTAAAGTTCTTTCGCAGACGGTTAAAGTTCTATTGCAGCCGGTTAAAGTTCTATTGCAGCCGGTTAAAGTTCTATTGCAGCCGGTTAAAGTTCACTCGCAGCAGGTTAAAATTCACTCAGGTTAAAGTTCTATCGCAGCAGGTTAAAATTCACTCAGGTTAAAGTTCTATCGCAGCAGGTTAAAATTCACTCAGGTTAAAGTTCTATCGCAGCAGGTTAAAATTCACTCAGGTTAAAGTTCTATCGCAGCCGGTTAAAATTCACTCGCAGCAGGTTAAAGTTCTATTGCAGACGGTTAAAGTTCTATTGCAGCCGGTTAAAGTTCACTCGCAGCCGGTTAAAATTCACTCAGGTTAAAGTTCTATCGCAGCCGGTTAAAGTTCACTCGCAGCAGGTTAAAATTCACTCAGGTTAAAGTTCTATCGCAGCCGGTTAAAATTCACTCAGGTTAAAGTTCTATCGCAGACGGTTAAAATTCACTCGCAGCAGGTTAAAGTTCTATCGCAGACGGTTAAAGTTCACTCGCAGTAGGTTAAAAGTTCTTTCGCAGATGGTTAAAGTTCACTCAGGTTAAAGTTCTTTCGCAGATGGTTAAAATTCACTCAGGTTAAAGTTCTATCGCAGCCGGTTAAAATTCACTCAGGTTAAAGTTCTATCGCAGCCGGTTAAAATTCACTCAGGTTAAAGTTCTATCGCAGACGGTTAAAGTTCACTCGCAGCCGGTTAAAATTCACTCAGGTTAAAGTTCTATCGCAGCCGGTTAAAATTCACTCAGGTTAAAGTTCACTCGCAGCCGGTTAAAATTCACTCAGGTTAAAGTTCTATCGCAGACGGTTAAAGTTCACTCGCAGCCGGTTAAAATTCACTCAGGTTAAAGTTCTATCGCAGCCGGTTAAAATTCACTCGCAGCCGGTTAAAATTCACTCAGGTTAAAGCTCTATCGCAGCCGGTTAAAATTCACTCAGGTTAAAGTTCTATCGCAGCCGGTTAAAATTCACTCAGGTTAAAGTTCATTCGCAGCCGGTTAAAATTCACTCGCAGCAGGTTAAAATTCACTCAGGTTAAAATTCTATCGCAGCCGGTTAAAATTCACTCGCAGCAGGTTAAAGTTCTATCGCAGACGGTTAAAATTCACTCGCAGCAGGTTAAAGTTCTATCGCAGACGGTTAAAGTTCACTCGCAGTAGGTTAAAAGTTCTTTCGCAGATGGTTAAAGTTCACTCAGGTTAAAGTTCTATCGCAGCAGGTTAAAATTCACTCAGGTTAAAGTTCTATCGCAGCAGGTTAAAATTCACTCAGGTTAAAGTTCTATCGCAGCAGGTTAAAATTCACTCAGGTTAAAGTTCTATCGCAGCCGGTTAAAATTCACTCGCAGCAGGTTAAAGTTCTATTGCAGACGGTTAAAGTTCTATTGCAGCCGGTTAAAGTTCACTCGCAGCCGGTTAAAATTCACTCAGGTTAAAGTTCTATCGCAGCCGGTTAAAGTTCACTCGCAGCAGGTTAAAATTCACTCAGGTTAAAGTTCTATCGCAGCCGGTTAAAATTCACTCAGGTTAAAGTTCTATCGCAGACGGTTAAAATTCACTCGCAGCAGGTTAAAGTTCTATCGCAGACGGTTAAAGTTCACTCGCAGTAGGTTAAAAGTTCTTTCGCAGATGGTTAAAGTTCACTCAGGTTAAAGTTCTTTCGCAGATGGTTAAAATTCACTCAGGTTAAAGTTCTATCGCAGCCGGTTAAAATTCACTCAGGTTAAAGTTCTATCGCAGCCGGTTAAAATTCACTCAGGTTAAAGTTCTATCGCAGACGGTTAAAGTTCACTCGCAGCCGGTTAAAATTCACTCAGGTTAAAGTTCTATCGCAGCCGGTTAAAATTCACTCAGGTTAAAGTTCACTCGCAGCCGGTTAAAATTCACTCAGGTTAAAGTTCTATCGCAGACGGTTAAAGTTCACTCGCAGCCGGTTAAAATTCACTCAGGTTAAAGTTCTATCGCAGCCGGTTAAAATTCACTCGCAGCCGGTTAAAATTCACTCAGGTTAAAGCTCTATCGCAGCCGGTTAAAATTCACTCAGGTTAAAGTTCTATCGCAGCCGGTTAAAATTCACTCAGGTTAAAGTTCATTCGCAGCCGGTTAAAATTCACTCGCAGCAGGTTAAAATTCACTCAGGTTAAAATTCTATCGCAGCCGGTTAAAATTCACTCGCAGCAGGTTAAAGTTCTATCGCAGACGGTTAAAATTCACTCGCAGCAGGTTAAAGTTCTATCGCAGACGGTTAAAGTTCACTCGCAGCAGGTTAAAGTTCTATCGCAGATGGTTAAAGTTCACTCAGGTTAAAGTTCTTTCGCAGATGGTTAAAGTTCACTCAGGTTAAAGTTCTTTCGCAGATGGTTAAAGTTCACTCAGGTTAAAGTTCTTTCGCAGATGGTTAAAGTTCACTCAGGTTAAAGTTCTATCGCAGCCGGTTAAAATTCACTCAGGTTAAAGTTCTATCGCAGCCGGTTAAAATTCACTCAGGTTAAAGTTCTATCGCAGCCGGTTAAAATTCACTCAGGTTAAAGTTCTATCGCAGACGGTTAAAGTTCACTCGCAGCCGGTTAAAATTCACTCAGGTTAAAGTTCTATCGCAGCCGGTTAAAATTCACTCGCAGCCGGTTAAAATTCACTCAGGTTAAAGTTCTATCGCAGACGGTTCAAGTTCACTCGCAGGCAGTTAAAGTTCACTCAGGTTAAAGTTCTTTCGCAGGCGGTTAAAGTTCATTCGCAGCCGGTTAAAATTCACTCAGGTTAAAGTTCTTTCGCAGGCGGTTAAAGTTCATTCGCAGCCGGTTAAAATTCACTCAGGTTAAAGTTCTTTCGCAGACGGTTAAAATTCTATCGCAGCCGGTTAAAATTCACTCAGGTTAAAGTTCACTCGCAGCCGGTTAAAATTCACTCAGGTTAAAGTTCTATCGCAGACGGTTAAAGTTCACTCGCAGCCGGTTAAAATTCACTCAGGTTAAAGTTCTATCGCAGCCGGTTAAAATTCACTCGCAGCCGGTTAAAATTCACTCAGGTTAAAGCTCTATCGCAGCCGGTTAAAATTCACTCAGGTTAAAGTTCTATCGCAGCCGGTTAAAATTCACTCAGGTTAAAGTTCATTCGCAGCCGGTTAAAATTCACTCGCAGCAGGTTAAAATTCACTCAGGTTAAAATTCTATCGCAGCCGGTTAAAATTCACTCGCAGCAGGTTAAAGTTCTATCGCAGACGGTTAAAATTCACTCGCAGCAGGTTAAAGTTCTATCGCAGACGGTTAAAGTTCACTCGCAGTAGGTTAAAAGTTCTTTCGCAGATGGTTAAAGTTCACTCAGGTTAAAGTTCTTTCGCAGATGGTTAAAGTTCACTCAGGTTAAAGTTCTTTCGCAGATGGTTAAAGTTCACTCAGGTTAAAGTTCTATCGCAGCCGGTTAAAATTCACTCAGGTTAAAGTTCTATCGCAGCCGGTTAAAATTCACTCAGGTTAAAGTTCTATCGCAGCCGGTTAAAATTCACTCAGGTTAAAGTTCTATCGCAGCCGGTTAAAATTCACTCAGGTTAAAGTTCTATCGCAGACGGTTAAAGTTCACTCGCAGCCGGTTAAAATTCACTCAGGTTAAAGTTCTATCGCAGCCGGTTAAAATTCACTCGCAGCCGGTTAAAATTCACTCAGGTTAAAGTTCTATCGCAGACGGTTCAAGTTCACTCGCAGGCAGTTAAAGTTCACTCAGGTTAAAGTTCTTTCGCAGGCGGTTAAAATTCACTCAGGTTAAAGTTCTTTCGCAGGCGGTTAAAGTTCACTCGCAGTAGGTTAAAAGTTCATTCGCAGCCGGTTAAAATTCACTCAGGTTAAAGTTCTTTCGCAGGCGGTTAAAGTTCATTCGCAGCCGGTTAAAATTCACTCAGGTTAAAGTTCTATCGCAGCCGGTTAAAATTCACTCAGGTTAAAGTTCTATCGCAGCCGGTTAAAGTTCACTCGCAGCAGGTTAAAATTCACTCAGGTTAAAGTTCTATCGCAGCCGGTTAAAATTCACTCAGGTTAAAGTTCTTTCACAGACGGTTAAAGTTCACTCAGGTTAAAGTTCTTTCGCAGCCGGTTAAAATTCTATCGCAGCCGGTTCAAGTTCTTTCGCAGACAGTTAAAGTTCACTCGCAGCCAGTTAAAATTCCATCGTAGCCGGTTAAAATTCACTCAGGTTATATTTCTTTCGCAGACGGTTAAAGTTCACTCAGGTTAAAGTTCTATCACAGCCGGTTAAAGTTCTATCGCAGCCGGTTAAAATTCACTCAGGTTAAAGTTCTATTGCAGCCGGTTCAAGTTCTTTCGCAGACGGTTAAAGTTCACTCGCAGCAGGTTAAAATTCACTCAGGTTAAAGTTCTATCGCAGCCGGTTAAAATTCACTCAGGTTAAAGTTCATTCGCAGCCGGTTAAAATTCACTCGCAGCAGGTTAAAATTCACTCAGGTTAAAATTCTATCGCAGCCGGTTAAAATTCACTCAGGTTAAAGTTCTATCGCAGGCGGTTAAAGTTCACTCAGGTTAAAGTTCTTTCGCAGCCGGTTAAAGTTCACTCGCAGCAGGTTAAAGTTCACTCAGGTTAAAGTTCTATCGCAGCCGGTTAAAATTCACTCAGGTTAAAGTTCATTCGCAGCCAGTTAAAATTCTATCGTAGCCGGTTAAAGTTCACTCAGGTTAAAGTTCATTCGCAGCCAGTTAAAATTCTATCGCAGCCGGTTAAAGTTCATTCGCAGCCAGTTAAAATTCCATCGTAGCCGGTTAAAATTCACTCGCAGACGGTTAAAGTTCACTCAGGTTAAAGTGCTATTGCGCTGTGTGCCTGCAGTACGTGTACCACGCTGTGTACCTGCACCACGGTGTGCGCCTGCAGTACGTGTACCACGCTGTGTACCTGCACCACGGTGTGTGTCTGCAGTACGTGTACCACGGTGTGTGTCTGCAGTACGTGTACCACGCTGTGTACCTGCACCACGGTGTGCGCCTGCAGTACGTGTACCACGCTGTGTACCTGCACCACGGTGTGTGTCTGCAGTACGTGTACCACGGTGTGTGCCTGCAGTACGTGTACCACGCTGTGTACCTGCACCACGGTGTGTGTCTGCAGTACGTGTACCACGGTGTGTGTCTGCAGTACGTGTACCACGCTGTGTACCTGCACCACGGTGTGCGCCTGCAGTACGTGTACCACGCTGTGTACCTGCAGTACGTGTACCACGCTGTGTACCTGCAGTACGTGTACCACGCTGTGTACCTGCACCACGGTGTGCGCCTGCAGTACGTGTACCACGGTGTGTGTCTGCAGTACGTGTACCACGCTGTGTACCTGCAGTACGTGTACCACGCTGTGTACCTGCACCACGGTGTGCGCCTGCAGTACGTGTACCACGCTGTGCGCCTGCAGTACGTGTACCACGCTGTGCGCCTGCAGTACGTGTACCACGGTGTGCGCCTGCAGTACGTGTACCACGGTGTGCGCCTGCAGTACGTGTACCACGCTGTGCGCCTGCACCACGTGTACCACGGTGTGCGCCTGCAGTACGTGTACCACGGTGTGTGCCTGCACCACGGTGTGTACCTGCAGTACGTGTACCACGGTGTGCGCCTGCAGTACGTGTACCACGCTGTGTACCTGCACCACGGTGTGCGCCTGCAGTACGTGTACCACGCTGTGTACCTGCACCACGGTGTGCGCCTGCAGTACGTGTACCACGGTGTGTGTCTGCAGTACGTGTACCACGGTGTGTACCTGCACCACGGTGTGCGCCTGCAGTACGTGTACCACGGTGTGTGTCTGCAGTACGTGTACCACGCTGTGTACCTGAACCACGGTGTGTGCCTGCAGTACGTGTACCACGCTGTGTACCTGCACCACGGTGTGTACCTGCAGTACGTGTACCACGCTGTGTACCTGCACCACGGTGTGCGCCTGCAGTACGTGTACCACGCTGTGTACCTGCACCACGGTGTGTGCCTGCAGTACGTGTACCACGGTGTGTGCCTGCAGTACGTGTACCACGGTGTGTGCCTGCAGTACGTGTACCACGCTGTGTACCTGCACCACGGTGTGTGCCTGCAGTACGTGTACCACGCTGTGTACCTGCACCACGGTGTGTGCCTGCAGTACGTGTACCACGCTGTGTACCTGCAGTACGTGTACCACGCTGTGTACCTGCACCACGGTGTGCGCCTGCAGTACGTGTACCACGGTGTGTGCCTGCAGTACGTGTACCACGGTGTGTGCCTGCAGTACGTGTACCACGGTGTGTGCCTGCAGTACGGTGTGTGCCTGCAGTACGTGTACCACGGTGTGTGCCTGCAGTACGTGTACCACGCTGTGTACCTGCAGTACGGTGTGTGCCTGCAGTACGTGTACCACGCTGTGTACCTGCAGTACGTGTACCACGCTGTGTACCTGCAGTACGTGTACAGTAGTGTTTATATCCAGATGTGTGTGCTTGTATGTTCACTTGGCTGCATGTTAATGTGTGAGAGAAAGTATAAATGCTGTAATCTGATTGGATAGAAACGTTAAACATGATCTCAGGTTGAGGTTTCATTCATCGTCTCAGTTCGACTTTACAAAGAGATTTTCAAGATCAGAAACAGGCTGCAGCCTCTCACTGCGCACACACACTCTGAATCTAATAATAACCCGAGTGTGTGCGTGTGTCAGCACAGAGGAAATGGGCGCTGTCCCCTTTCAGCCAATCAGAGGAGCTGAAGATGACATCATCATCATCTAGAGAGGCACACACGAGGAGAGTGCTGCAGCCCGACCACACACACACACATCCAGAAAGTTCTGTAGCGTTTATGAAGAGTGTGTTCACCATCGACCAATCACAGACGAGAGAAGTGATTTACCACCAGATGATCGAGTGCATTGATCCTGTGTGTGTGTGTGTGAGAGTGAGTGAGTGAGTGTGTGTGTGAGAGTGAGTGAGTGAGTGAGTGAGAGAGTGAGATTTGGTCTCTGCAAGAGGAGGAAGCAGTCATCGTCTCGCCTCGTAAAAGCCTCAGGAATGTGGAGTCCTGCTGTTCTGAGAGTTTAATAAATTAAAACGTTTCCATTGTCAGTAACGCCGTCACATCAACACCATTCATAATCAAATTAAAATAAACCTGTAACAGTGCGTCACTGTAACATCACGGCGGCTGCTGCCCCCCTGTGGTCAGACTGCAGCACTACACACAGTACACTGTGTACTAAATACTTGTTCCCACAGTTTTAAGACATACATGTACCTTCCTGTTCTGTCCCAACAGGTAGTGATGTAATATTAGACAACAGCAGGGGTGTAACCAAGTACTTCTACTTTAGGGTATTTTATACTTGAGAGGCGAATATATTAACATTTAGATTTCACCTCCAGAACATCTGAACAGTACATGAAGCAGAAACACAACGAAAAGTACATATTTATACCTCCTGAATGATGATGCAGTAATAAAAAAGTATTTCCTGTAAGTACTACAGTAAATTCATTCAGTCACTCTCTCTTTGTGAGAACCTGTCTCAGGAGTTAGCAGTTCAGTGTGAGTAAAGTACAAGTACATCAGTGTTTAAGGAATATTGCTGTTTTTTTAAACCCGGACCTTTATTTCCACACATGTTGGTGCTGAAATGACTCGAAGCAGTTTTGAATCGCGGTGACCCCCTTTGTTTTTAACAGGAAGCTAAAGTCTCGCTCCAGGACAGGTCTGACACAGCACGTGTGGAAACAGGCCGCGGGTTTAAAAGTACAGTCCCTGAGTAAAAGTACTCAGTACTTTCCACCGCCGTCAGAGCGTGGCGGTCCCCACAGGTGTAGCGGTGTAAGTGTGTGTGTGTCTCACGCTGTCCCACGTCTCCCTGCAGCTGAAGGATCTGAGGGACCGGCATCGTCAGGATGACGGCGTCAAACGTCTCGCTGCCCCCCGCCTTCCTCTGCACCTCCCATGATGCACCGCGGCGGTACAGGCCGGTCACATGACGCTCGAGGAACAAATCAGCTCCTGACACACAGACAGAGAACGATCGATTCACTTCCTGATCGGATTCTTTAATAAACAGACTGCACACACCTGAACTCGGCGTCCACCTACTGGCTTTCTGCGTGTCGTCACGTTAAAGATCCATCACATGACTGCTGCAGCAGCGTTCCTTTAAACAGAAATGCTGCTGCCTTGAACGCCCCGTTGTGTACGAGCGCTGCCTCTTTTCTGATTGTGGCGTTGCTAGAAGTCTCTGGTTGAAACTGTTAACTCATCGAGAGCAGCGTTGCGTATGTAGCCCGAGGAGAGGAAACGCACCTCAGAAAAAGATACCGCTCCTGTCTTTATGCTAAGCTAAGCTAAGCTAAGCGGCTGTAGACATGAGTTTCACTCAATGTTCAACGGTTGCTTTAACACAAAGATGAAGGCCGAGAGGTGTGGCGGAAAGGATCTCGAGTCAAACTCGGATGGACGGACAGGTGGGCGTGTACCTGACTGAGACAGGAAGTGTTTGACCACGCTGCACATGCCCAGTGGCGTCACGTAGTTCTTGCTGCCGTCCATCTGCTTCAGTCCTTCAACCGGAGAGTCGAGAGGCCGCAGGATGCCGGAGGACAGCAGCTCCGAGTAGAAACTGCAAACACACGCAGGAAGACCTTCACAATAAAAGCCCGCATGGTAAGAATTAAAGTCTTTCTTTCAGGATGCGTGAACACGTTTGTCTCGGTTCATTGTCCAGTCAACAAAACGCTGCAGCGAAACACAGAGACACTGCTGCAGACAGGTGAGACAGGTGAGTCCTACCTGTGGTGTGACTGAGCGTAGGCCGGCGTAGCCGTGATGTACTGAGCTCCGAGATCAGCTGAGTGAGACGACGGGTCGGGAGGACGAGTGGTGGACATCCTGCCGCCTGACAGAGAGAGAGAGAGACACAGGTAGAGAGAGAGAGACACAGGTAGAGACACAGGTAGAGAGAGAGAGACACAGGTAGAGAGAGAGACACAGGTAGAGAGAGAGAGACACAGGTAGAGAGAGAGAGAGGTGTAGAGAGAGAGACGGGTAGAGAGGTAGAGAGAGGTAGAGAGAGAGACACAGGTAGGGAGAGAGAGAGGTAGAGAGAGAGACACAGGTAGAGAGAGAGAGGTAGAGAGAGAGACACAGGTAGAGAGAGAGACAGGTAGAGACAGACAGAGGTAGAGAGAGAGACAGGTAGAGACAGGTAGAGAGAGAGGTAGAGACACAGGTAGAGAGAGAGGTAGAGACACAGGTAGAGAGACACAGGTAGAGAGGTAGAGAGAGAGAGGTAGAGAGAGACACAGGTAGAGAGAGAGAGAGGTAGAGAGAGAGACAGGTAGAGAGACGGGTAGAGAGAGACACAGGTAGAGAGGTAGAGACAAGTAGAGAGACACAGGTAGAGAGACACAGGTAGAGAGAGAGAGAGACACGGGTAGAGAGAGAGAGACACGGGTAGAGAGAGAGGTAGAGAGAGAGAGACACGGGTAGAGAGAGAGGTAGAGAGAGGTTCAGCTCTCTGTTAAAGAGGTGGTATTCTGCTTCTCCTTTATTGAGTTTATATCTTTTTTGTGCTGTAACAGGTTTGTAAAGTGAAAAGGTTCCCATCTCTCACAGAAAACTCTGCTCTGAACTGAAAACAGCTCGTTTGTAGTCCAGCCTTTACTTCCGCTTTCTTGTGATGTCACAAGAAAATACGTGTCATAACGCTCGCCGAGCAGCTACTCCGACACGCCCTCAGAAACAGCGAGCTGCAGCACACAGCTCTCCTCTCCCTTCCAAACACTAGCTACCCTCCAGGCAGGCAGTGGACATAAAGTTGTTCCTGTGATGTAGAGACAGAGCTCAGTTAAAACTTTATGGATACAGATTAATAAGTCACCGCTCTGAAACTCTCGCTCCAGTCCGTGTTGCCGAGCCGGTCGGCAACACGTACGGCTGAACCCGAGCCGTTTACCGGCTTCTCGCCGACCCGCCCTTCTCTGCTTCTGATTGGCTAGTAGTCCTTAACTAGGAACTGAGCATGTGCAACTCCCAACAAAGATCATTTAGAGACAAGATGCATCACTCCATAGCTAAAACGAAGCCTTCAACACAGAAAAGAGGAGCTGCAGCAATGTGCAGTCTGACAAAAATATAACCATGTAAACCTGCTCTGGTACAAACTCTAAATAAGATGAGGAACCTGAAAATGAGCAGAATACCAGCTCTTTAAAGAGTAAAAAGTTTCCCTTTGCACAGACCTCTGCGCCAAACTTCATTATAAATTTCACTATTTTTTGTTCATTTTATTGCAGCAGAGCATCAAGAACTGGTGGGAAAGAGTTAAGAGATGGATTTGAACAAACAGGAAACTTTATTCTATTCGGATTAAAGTACATTAAACAGAAAACAACACTTTTATCAGGAAAATACCTTTTACAGTTGTCTTGTGAAGACTCAGTGATCAGGTCACAGTTATCTAATGGAGGTTAAAATGAAGGGCAAATTCTAAAGTTGGTCTCACTCAATGTTCAACCTTCCTCGACAGTAAGAGACACGACAAATGGCTGCAGCCCAGATTATAAAAGATAACATTTTACTATAATTTGTACAGTTTGAAGCTTTACAGACCGGATTTAGGCCCAAATTAAGACGAGTTCAAGCTCGGGAATATTAAACTGTAAGATTTCTGAGTGAAGATGTGAAGAAGTGAGCCCGCTGCCTTACACCACACAGACTGAACTACATGCATGTTTCAGATATCTCTGATTTAACTGGTAGAACTGGTTTTATACTGGCTTGCAGACAGTTAATCTCTGGCAGTTTATAAATCTAATGCTTTGTGGTTATAAAGTCGGATCATTTCTGCCGAATTGAAGGGGAGACCCTGCAGATCCAGATCCCGTCTCCAGTCTTGTTCTGCAGTGTGACCCTGCTCGGCTGTAAACTCGGGAATATTAAATTGTCGTATTTCTGAACGGAGTTCTGACTCACCGGAGCCCCTGGCTTTGTCCCACACCACTATCTGAACCTTGTTCTGCATTTCTCTCCTCAGCATACATGCGCACAGGCTGCCTGTCAGGCCCGCTCCGACTATCAGAACCCGGGACATGTTTAGCTCGGAACCGCAGCCGGACCAACTCTAGCACGGACACATAAACCGGGTTTAAACCGCTCCAGTCCGCAGCAGCAGAAGAACAACAGCTGATGGACCAACAAAAACTATCCCGGGGTTAGACCTGCAGCCGGAAACAGCAGGGGACATCCGGTCGGGGGTTTCAAAATAAATATCTTATTGCGTCCAAATACTCCGAGAAAGAAAACATTGAAAAGTTCTTATCTTGTTATGTACATCAGGTAGGTACTTTACTTGAGTATTTGATGGTATTTTTGATCACAGAAATCAATACTTTGATTGTAAAAAGCAGCTGATCGGTTCTGTTAGAGTTAATCACGTGTCCAGGATAAGATGGATCACGTGATGGATCCCTTCTATGTGGTATTGCTCTCCCCCCCCCCCCCCCCATAATAATCAGGTTTAATCATTAAAATCACACATTGGATGTTGAATATAAACATAAAGAGTACAATATGGAGGTACTTGTACTTGAGTATTTCCAGATGCTACTAACTACTTCTACTCCACTACATTTATTTAAAGGTGTAGTATATTTTTACATAAACAATACACCTGCTGCAGTACTTTAAACTAATATAGAGTACACAGAGTATCTGAAACTGGCTTCTTATTGACAAACTGCAACATTAAAATATCCTATAATATTCTAAAATACTACAACACTTTGAAAGGCCTGCTGCATACTGAGTACATTTACCATGAATACTTTAAGTACATTTGGCTGAAAATACTTCTGGAGTATTTTTTGACTGTGGTATTTATACTTCTGAGTACTGTAGTTTTTTGTTTAATTTCAGGATTATTCTGAAGGCGGGCCCTTCACACCTGAGCTGACTGAAACTTGACTCTCTGATCGATGATCACTGATCCAGCAGAGGTCGGTATTTTATTAACATTCGTTTTATTTTGTTTTCTGTATTTTTTATTTTTTAAAAACCAAATCAGCTGATCGCTTCCGGCCTGTGTTGATTCGATCAGAGAAGATGAAACGATCAGAAACCTTTGCGATCAATCAGCGGCAAACAAACAGTTAATCAGCCGCATCATGTGTTTGACCAATCACAGAAGGGTACTCCCTCTGACGTCACGGCCTCCGCCGCCCGTTCCGTGCAGAAAACAGAAGTTCGGATCGTCGGACCGTCGAGCTGCGGACAGACAGGTGAGTGTTGGACGGCCGCGTCGTTACCTGCGTGTTACCTGCGTGTTACCTGCTCACGCGGACCCGAGCCGTTTAAAGACCGGAAACACGAAGTTTGTGGTGTTTTAAACCCGACCAGAGAAAAGAGGCTGTAAAGGTACGGAACGTCAGTGAGGTCAGTAAGAGTTAAACCCGCAGAATCAGCTTACCTGGAGACACTGGAGACATCAAGTCCTCGTGACTGTTTGAAAGCATTTGTTAAAACTGAAGAAATGTTACCTAACAAAGGAAAAACGCTTTGAGAAGGTTTATTTGCACAATAAGGAAACATGCAGGTCAACTACAGAAGAGACGAGAAACAATCTGCTGCTTATAAAATATTTCCACCTTAAATTAGAGCAGAAAATGTCTCCAGAATGCAGCAAGACACCGTGTCCTCTGACAGTAAACGCGTCATCCTCAGAGGGACACGTGTCCTCTGACAGTAAACGCATCATGTCCTCAGAGGGACACGTGTCCTCTGACAGTAAACGCGTCATGTCCTCAGAGGGACACGTGTCCTCTGACAGTAAACGCGTTATGTCCTCAGAGGGACACGTGTCCTCTGACAGTCCTGACAGTAAACGCATCATGTCCTCAGAGGGACACGTGTCCTCTGACAGTAAACGCGTTATGTCCTCAGAGGGACACGTGTCCCTCTGACAGTCCTGACAGTAAACGCATCATGTCATCAGAGGGACACGTGTCCTCTGACAGGAAACGCATCATGTCATCAGAGGGACACGTGTCCTCTGACAGTAAACGCGTCATGTCATCAGAGGGACACATGTCCTCTGACAGTCCTGACAGTAAATGCGTCATGTCATCAGAGGGACACGTGTCCTCTAACAGTAAACGCGTCATGTCCTCAGAGGGACACGTGTCCTCTGACAGTAAACGCGTCATGTCATCAGAGGGACACGTGTCCTCTGACAGTCCTGTCAGTGAACGCATCATGTCCTCAAAGGGACACGTGTCCTCTGACAGTAAACGCGTCATGTCATCAGAGGGACACGTGTCCTCTGACAGTCCTGTCAGTGAACGCATCATGTCCTCAGAGGGACACGTGTCCTCTGACAGTAAACGCGTCATGTCATCAGAGGGACACGTGTCCTCTAACAGTCCTGTCAGTGAACGCATCATGTCCTCAAAGGGACACGTGTCCTCTGACAGTAAACGCGTCATGTCATCAGAGGGACACGTGTCCTCTGACAGTCCTGTCAGTGAACGCATCATGTCCTCAGAGGGACACGTGTCCTCTGACAGTAAACGCGTCATGTCATCAGAGGGACACGTGTCCTCTGACAGTCCTGTCAGTGAACGCATCATGTCCTCAGAGGGACACGTGTCCTCTAACAGTCCTGTCAGTGAACGCATCATGTCCTCAGTGTCCTCGTGATGCAGAAACAGAAGCAGCTTTATCAGTCAGACGTCCCACATGACCTTCATCACTTCGTCACGGCGTCAAACAACTTCAAAGAATTATTCGGTGAACAAACACGATCAGCTGATCAAAGTCCGTCAGACACCAGGCTGAGCTGGAAATCAGGACGTCGTCATGTGACTTTGGACTCTGAGCGACTTCCTCTCTGCTTTCACCTCCGAAACAAACTGACCGTTAACCCTGATGATGTCACTCAGTGACATCATTCAGACCAACGCCTGACTGTGTGTGTGTGTGTGTGTGTGTGTGTGTGAGACAGACGATGTTGTGTGTTTTGGTGTGTGTGTTGATGCTCTCCGGTCTCGTCCACGCCGGACCGGCTGACAGCAGGTCGTCTGTTCGGAGACTCACTGACGTCCACCGACACTCCGGAAAACACAAGCTGAAGCTGGACCCTGAAGTGCACATGAACATCGTGAGTACACACAGAATACTACACGCAGTACTACACGCAGTACTACACGCAGTACTACACACAGTACTACACACAGTACTACACGCAGTACTACACAGAATACTACACACAGTACCACACGCAGTACTACACAGAATACTACACACAGTACCACACGCAGTACTACACAGAATACTACACACAGTACCACACGCAGTACTACACAGAATACTACACACAGTACCACACAGAGTACTACACGCAGTACTACACAGAATACTACACACAGTACTACACGCAGTACTACACAGTACTACACACAGTACTACACGCAGTACTACACACAGTACTACACAGAATACTACACACAGTACCACACAGAGTACTACACACAGTACCACACGCAGTACTACACACAGTACTACACGCAGTACTACACACAGTACTACACACAGTACTACACACAGTACTACAGATTAGGACTCAGGACCCGGGTTAAAGATATGAGCGGCTCCCTCAGGTGTTCATAAGCCCCGCCCCCCTGCTGTCAGGACAGGTAAACCTTTTCAAATTAAAAGCTGAGCTCTGCTGCTGTCTTTAGCCCACAGTTCTGCCTCACAGGCACAAGTTCCCATCAGGCCAGAGTTCACTGAGCTCAGTCTTTTTTATTAAACTTCATTCACAGTTTTAGATAGACGACATCTCCTTGTGCTGGATTAACACGTGAGTTTAGAGAACCCTGAGGCAGACCAGGACCAGGACCAGAACCGGGACCAGGAGCCTGTGTGTGTGATTCAGAACTTTATCGAACACGTTCAGAACGATTGTTCAGACGCTTTAAATGTTTCATCAGAAATCATGTTCCAGCTGCGACCCGGAGGTTCTCCTGGTAACGCGGGTGTTTGTGTGTTCAGACGGAGATCATCAGGCGGTGGGGGTACCCTGCAGAGGAACACGAGGTTCTGACGGAGGACGGGTACATCCTGTCCGTCAACAGGATCCCACAGGGACTCAAACGCACCTCAGGTCAGAACCACACTCTGCTGTCTCTGTGAGGACCAGAGCTGCAGAGTCCAGCACGCACAAGAAGTACTCAAGTCAAAGTACAAAAGTATTACCGTCACAATATATTAAGTAAAAGTACTCAGTATGCAGAATAATTGGATTGTACTTCCTGCTGCAGCTGGTGGAGGTGGGATCAATAAAGTTTCACCTGAACCTGTAATAGTATTTGTCCGTGTGTATTAATACTCTATATAATATAAAGTAAGTCCCAAAGTAAAGTGCCGATGAGTTCAGTGACATCTTGGAGTTTGCAGTTTGTTTTGAAGTGATGCTGAAGCTCAGAACAGGAAGTGAAAGTGGTGACCTCAGTTCTGTCTGCAGGTTCCTGTTTCGGCAGCTGAACTTTACTCTGAAATGATTTCTGCTCGCTTCATTCTGTCCTCAGTCAGAAGAGACGCGTCGCTGCTGTCAAACCAGGAGAGTCCGGGCGCCAGGCGTCTTCACAGTTATCACGTTTCTCCTGATAACAATCAGCTGTTGTTACTGTTTAAGATATTTATTTTGTTGAGAAGAAAGATTTTATTTAAGATTTGTTGAAACAGATTTGATCAGTTCAGATCTGTGAAGTTTGGATCAAGAGTGAAAAGTTTAAACCACGTTAACTTTCACTCAGAAGCAGAAACCAGCCTTTAAACTGAAAGAGACGCAGATGTGACCTTTAAGTAACTCTACGTTGAAGTAGTACTACCTCAGTGTACAAATACTCTCCTGCACACAGAAAACTAAACTCCGGCCCCGAAAGTCCAGAAGTGTTTTACTTAGCGAGAATCTGTTCGCAGGTCCGAGGCCCGCGGTGCTGCTCCAACACGGCCTGCTGGCCGCCGGCAGCAACTGGATCACCAACCCGCCCAACTCCAGCCTGGGGTACGTGCTGGCCGACGCCGGGTACGACGTGTGGATGGGGAACAGCCGAGGGAACACCTGGTCCAGGAAACACCAGACACTGCGGCCGGACCAGGAGGACTTCTGGAGGTTCAGGTACAAACACCTGTCTGACGCCACCCGTCTGACGCCACCTATCTGACGTGACGTCACCTGTCTGACGTGACGTCACCTGTCTGAACCTGTCTGACGTGACGCCACCTGTCTGACGTCACCTGTCTGACGCCGCCTGTCTGACGTCACCTGTCTGACGTGACGTCACCTGTCTGACGTCGCCTGTCTGACGTCACCTGTCTGACGTCACCTGTCTGACGTGACGTCACCTGTCTGACGCCACCTGTCTGACGTGACGTCACCTGTCTGACGCCACCTGTCTGACGTGACGTCACCTGTCTGAACCTGTCTGACGTGACGCCACCTGTCTGAACCTGTCTGACGTCACCTGTCTGACGTGACGTCACCTGTCTGACGTCACCTGTCTGACGTGACGTCACCTGTCTGACGTCACCTGTCTGAACCTGTCTGACGTGACGTCACCTGTCTGACGTCACCTGTCTGACGTGATGTCACCTGTCTGACGTGATGTCACCTGTCTGACGTGATGTCACCTGTCTGACGTGACGTCACCTGTCTGACGCCACCTGTCTGACGTGACGTCACCTGTCTGATGTCACCTGTCTGAACCTGTCTGACGTCACCTGTCTGACGTGATGTCACCTGTCTGAACCTGTCTGACGTGACGTCACCTGTCTGAGGTGACGTCGCCTGTCTGACGCCACCTGTCTGACGTGACGTCACCTGTCTGACGCCACCTGTCTGAACCTGTCTGACGTGACGCCACCTGTCTGATGTCACCTGTCTGAACCTGTCTGACGTGACGTCACCTGTCTGACGTGACGTCACCTGTCTGATGTCACCTGTCTGAACCTGTCTGACGTCACCTGTCTGACGTCACCTGTCTGA